GGAGGGGGAGGCGGCGGGGGAGATGGTGGCGGCGGTGGAGGGGGTGGCGGAGGAGGAGATGGGGGCGGCGGTGGAGGGGGCGGCGGTGGAGGCGATGGCGGTGGAGGGGGAGGGGGAGGCGGCGGAGGAGATGGCGGAAGGGGGGAAGGCGGCGGAGATGGCGGCGGAGGTGGAGGTGGAGGCGGAGGCGGAGGAGATGGTGGCGGAGGGGGAGGCGAAGGCGATGGCGACGGAAGGGGAGGCGAAGGCGATGGCGGAGAAGGGGGAGAGGGCAGCGGCGAAGGGGATGGTGGAAGTGGAGATGGCGGAAACGGAGATGGTGGACGTGGGGAAGGTGGTCGAGGGGATGGCGGAGGCTTGGGGGTGCTCACATAGCGGATAGGGCAGCATGTGTCGGTGCTGTTGAGGCTATTCAACAGGGCTACTTGGCATGTCCCTGGAGGAGAGCTGACTGACGGCGGCACACAGAGCTCTTCCAGAGTACCGCAGCCGGCGTCGTTCACACCAGCCGTGAGGTTGAGGCAGAGCTCAGCGTTGTTGTCCGATAAACCCATAGTCAGGCTGGTGAGCCGGAGCACGTATCTGTAGGTGCCGTTGTCCAATTGGTAGGTGTAGTAATTAGGGCCGACGAGGGTGAACTTTCCATTAATGGTTGCCTTGACTGACGCAGACTTGGCCAGGCACTTGGCGTTGACATCAAACTGTTGGGAGACAGGCGAGATGACGCGAAAAGGGAAGAAAAAGATGTTAACTCCTCGACCAAAGGGAGGGACAAAATGTACTAAGGGCCGGGTAAAAAACGTATTCGGTTGACCGGGTTAAATGATCGCATAACATATTTATACATGCTGATGTTATGTTAGCGCAGCATGGATTTCCATGGGACTCCGACTTCGCCTAAGCGCAGTTGGTCGTTTCCGCAGCAAACCAACCGCACCTCAATTTTGTTCAAGTCGACATTGCAGCATCGTCCAGTGCAACCTGTGCTATTGACAAGAATCTTGAAGCAGTACTGGCCTTTGCCTTTCACAGTCACAGTTGGGGCGAAGTTGTATGGCGATGGATTGGCAGGAAGGCGATAGCAGGAGCAGTAGGGGAATCTAGGGTCGACTGTCGCCTGAGAATCCAGCTGTTCCTCAAGTGAAGTATCAGCAACTGCTGTTGTCATCCTGCGTTTTGCCAGGGTTCGATCCGATTTACTGACTCAGTCAATGGCTGTCTCTAAGCCAAGGTCAAGAGCACCACAAATCAGGCAGCCCAACGTATTGATACACCAAATCAATGGTTACAAAAAAACCTACCATGACATCGCAAGGCACAGAAGCAGACGTGCAAGGCGGGGCCTTAAAGCGCGCCTCGCCATGGCTGCAGGAGAAGATTGTCTACGCTTCTTCTGGCTATCTTGGATGTGACAAAATGAATGTGATAATCCTTTATAAGTCAGAAGGACATGTTCGTTGATTGGTAGGTACGGCACTTCTTATCCCAGCTTGCAATGGATCCAAATTTTGGAAGACGAACTGAGCAGTACACGAGGTACATTTGTCAGCACATCATCCTATAAAGGACTATCTTGAAATGTTGAAGGAATAAACTATGCTTGCTCAAGTGCAGAGCTTATTATTGAGGTAACAAGATCCATTCGGCATGGCACTAGCGCTCACAGATGCCTTTTGTACATTCACGAAAAGACGCCCAACCGTACATTTTTATTTTTAATGCGTTGCAGCTTAAGAAGCTCCTTCCTCTCGTACGCATACTTACACATCGGACACTCAAAAAGGCTGGTCTGTAAGCGTCGGTACAGAGCCATGCAGTCTAACATCCCAATAGCCTTACAACACTCGCAAAAGCTAGACTGGCATGACGCAGCGTGGCCGTTGCCGCCATTGTCTTTGTCACAAAGACGGTGAGCTGTTACCATGCACGCGCAGTACCGACGTATTGCCCCTAGTAAGACACGCCAACATCGTGGAAAGTTTATTATCTTTTATTATCCTTGTGCCTGATGTATGCAAAGCAATGCTATAAATAATCAGTAAAGTATCAGCAACCTGCTGTGTCAGCTTCGTTTTGCCAGTTGTTCACGATTTACTCACGAAAATGGCTGCTCTAAGCCAAAAGTCAGAGCACCACAAACCGGCGCCCAACGTATTGATTACACCAAATAAATGGTACAAAAAAACCTA